TCCAATCTGACAGGTGCACAAATATCAATACAGAAATACCAGAAGTATGAAAAAAACAAGGCTACATGACTCCTCCAAATGTCCATAATTTGTTGAGAATGGAATGTAAAGATAGTTAAGTGGATGTAATGCTGACAAAGAATTCAAAAGACTGATTCATAAAGTGATTAATGACTTCAAAGAGGTTACAAATAAACAGTTCAATAAGGAAGACAATGCAGGATATTGAGGGACAATTCAACCAAGATATTGAGAGTCTAAAGAAAAAGCAAGCAGAAATCTTGCAAATGAAATGCATAATAAATCAAATTAAAAAGCTCAGTGGAAAGCCTCACCAATAGAAAGAATCATGTAAAAGACAGAATTTCAGGGCTTAAAGACATTGCTGAGAAATTAGTACACACAAATACTAAAAAAAGAAAAAAATGAGAAATTATGAACAAAACAGCCAAAAACTCTGAGACAGTTCAAAGACCAAACTTACACATTTTTACTGTAGAAGAGGGCTCTAATATAGACTAATGGCACAGAAAAACTATTTCATGAAGTAATAACAAAAAAAAATCCCAAATCTTGGGAAAAATATGGACATCAAGATAAAAGGACAGAACACCAAACAGGCATGACCAGAAAAGAACCTCATTAGGATAAAATATAGTTAAAATGGAAGGGTACAGAACGAGAAAAGAATATTGAAAGCTGCAAGAGAGAAACACCAAGTCACTTACAGAGGCAAGTCCATCAGAATAACTTCAGAAACCTCTGCAGAAATCCTAAAGGGTAGGAAAGCATGGAATGATTTATTTCAAGCCTTGAAATATAAATTGCCTTCCTAGTGTACCATATCCAGCAAAACTATCTTTCAAAAGTGAACGAGGTGGGCTGGGAATTTAGCTCAGTAGTTCTGCCGCCTGCCTCGCAAGTGCAAGGTCCCAGTACCAAAAAAAAAAAAAAAAACTCAAACAGGAATAGAAGCCTTCCAAGATAAGCATAAACTGACCCAGGCATGGTGGTACATATCTGTAATCCTAGGACTCAGGAGACTGAGGCAGGAGGATTGCCTCAAGTTCAAGACCAGCCTGGGCTACATAGTGAGTTCAAGAAAACTTCTACTCTGCTGGTGGGAATGTAAATTAGTACAGCCTCTATGGAAATCAGTATGGGGTTCTTCAAAGAATGAAAAATAGAGCTACCATTTGATCCAGCTACACCACTCTTTGGTACATACTCAGAGGAATTAAGGTAGCATACTATAGGAATACCTGCAAATAAAATAAATACATAAAAAAGAATACCTACATGTCTGTTTATTCCAGCACAATTCACAATAGCCAACATATGGAACCAGCCTAGGTGCCCCGTCAACATGGATAAAAACTATTATGGTATATATACACAATGCAGTGTTACTCCACCATAAAAAACAAAATCATGTCATTTAAGCAGAAAAATGGATGGATCTGAAGACCATCATGTTGAACAAAATTAGCCAGACTCAGACAAACATTGCATGTTTTGCCTAATATGTGGAATCTAAAAAAGATGACAAGAAAATAGAAGGGAGACTATTACTAGACAGGAGGAAGGGAATAAAGGGGAGGCAGAGGGAGTAAGAGTGGGAATGGGAAGATGAATATGATAAAAATATATTAAATATACTATATGAGGGGAGTGCCAGGTGAGGCAGTAATGAAGAATATGATCACAGTATGTTATGTACACATATAAATCAGACCCATTAATCTGTATAACCAATAAAAAGTTTTTAAATAATAAAAGATTGAGGGCTGGGGATTTAGCTCAGTGGTTCCGCCACCTGCCTTACAAGTGTAAGGTCCTGAGTTCAATCCTCGTTACCAAAAAGAAGATTGAAAATTAAGAAGTAGGGTCAGGGATTTAACTCAGTGGTGCCACGCCTACCTTGAAAGCACAAGGTCCTGAATTCAATCCCTGGTACCACAAAGAAAAAAAAAAAAAATCAAGAAGTAAAACTATCTTTATTCACAGAGGACATGAACTTTGAATATAGAAAATTCTAAGGAATTTAGTGGGAAAAACTACAAGAATAAACAACTTCAGCAAAGTCACAGGATACAAGAGCAATATACAAAATGAATTGTTTCTCTGTACAAACAACTGTGAAAATGAAAGAAAAATTCCATTGTCAATATTATCAAAAAGAATAAAATGCTTAGGAATTTAACAAAAAAAATGCAGCACTTTTATATGGAAAGCTACAAAACTTGGTTGAAAGAAATTAAAGATTTAAATGAATGGAAAGACATCTCATGTTCAAAGTGGAAGATATAACAGTACTTCCCAAACTGATCAGCTGATTCAAACTCCCAGCTAAGCCCAGCATGGTGGCACACACCTGTAATCCCAGCACTTGAGAGGCTGAGGCAGGATTGCCCTGAATTCAAGGCCAGCCTACACAGTGAGTTCAAGACGAGCATAGTGAGACCTTGTCTCAAAAAAACAGTAACAATATTAATAAGATGACTGAATGTGATTTAAGTGTCTCTGCTATTCTTTCTTTCCTAGGATAGACCCCAATAGAATATAGTATACCCAAAATACCATAATTTTTAAATTTTTTTATTTTTTGTGATACATAATCACATTTAATTTCAGGAATTGGTACATATACATATTGGATCTTGATCATTTCTACTCCCCTTTCTTCTCCACCCTGCCTCCTTCCCCCACAATTTAAAAGTACTAAAAACAATGTGAGTAGGCCATCTGTTTTCAATTTTTAGGGTGTTTTTTCCTTGCTAGAGGTGGAACCCAGGGCCTCGGGCATTCATGCCAGGTAAGTGCTCCATCACGGGGCCACACGCTGACACTGGCTCATCCTTCTTTTGTCTGCAAGATTGTATAACAGACCAATCACTTGTATTGCAGAAAAACGTTGGGAACAGAAATTTAATTTAAAAGGTTGTTGGTAATTATTTTGTATCTTTTTAGCAAAAACAGAACTGAGGAAAGAAGTTAACGGCCTGAGCATTGAGGTAAAGATGGATAGAGACAAGCAGTTGGAGTTAATAAAGTCAGAGCACAGCTCTTTCTTCATGTCCTTAAATTGTTGCTTAAGCTTTTCATTGACATTTTGCGAAAAATCATTAAGTCAATTTTTGATTAATTTAGGCTTTTAGATGCCTCTGTATGCCAAGAATGCCTTCCATTGTTTTCAAGGGGTTTCTGATCCTTCTTTCCTAAGGTGCCTCAGAAGTATTTTCTTTCCCCAGCACAGGGGATCAAATCTCAGGACCTACACACTCTGGCAAGCATTCTACCAATCTGCTACCTATAAATACATAATTTTATTTCTACATCTCCTATCTATAAATACATAATTTTATTCAACTAAAACCTTCTCTGTTATGGTAACATTACTTCTGGTTTATCTTGGGTTTCTCATTTGTTTGTTTTAGACAAGTTTCTCACTATGTAGTCCAGGCTGCCCTTGGACTTGCTATGAAGTTGCTGGCATCAAATTTGTGATTCTCCTGCCTCAGCCTCCTGAGTGCTAGAATTACAGGCATACACCACCATGCTTGGGTTTTTATTTTTCCTTTTTGATCTAATTTTGTTATGTAATTATATAAAACACATGGTTTCAAATTATAACAAGGAATATTTACATCTTAATTTCATTCCTATTACCTTTACCCAGTTCATTCCTTTCCTCTGTAAACATATTTACTAGTTTTTTGGTTTATCTTTTTATTGCCCTTTGAAAACTCAAGAAAATACACACATGCACTCATATTTCCTGTGTCCTTTAGATAAAATGTGGCATACTGTTCACTCTGTCTACACCTTGCTTTTCTGTATAACATATTGTGGGGATTACTCCATAGGGGCACAGATAGATATCTTCCTCAATCCTTTTTATAGTTGCAAAAACTTATTTTGCAGCTATATTATATTTTATTCAAACAGGCACTGCTGATAGGGTTTCAGTGCTCCTTTTGCAAACACTATAATAAATAAACCTTCATTCTGTATTTTTGCCAGTAAATTTTTGGGATACTCCTAGAAGGTAAGTGCATACATAAATTTGTATTGATACTGCTAACTTCTCCAAAGGGATTGTTAGTTACAATAATCTTTTAACTATTTCCCTTTTACACTCTTGTCTACCTACAACCAATTCTCCCTCTTATCTTACAATGCTCCTGCTTAATCCTTCAGTGGCTTCTCACTGCATTTAGGATAAAACCCCTCTCTTCACAACACCTGTAAAAATGTAGAGCATAGTCAGGTGTGATGACCCATGCCTCTGATCCCAGTGCTCAAGAGGCTGAAGCAGGAAGATCATCACAAGTCTGAGGCCAGCCTGAACTACACAGCGCGACCCTGCCTCAAAAAACAAAAAGTCAAACCAAAATTTAAAAATGTAAGAGCATGAGCATCTTGTCTTGGTATCAAGTTAGAATTAGGTTTAGCTACAAGCAACAGAGATCCAAACTAACAATAGTTTTAAGGAGACAGAATTTTACTTCTAAAACAAGTTCAGTAGAAGACCATCCAACCCTGGCATGGTGTTCAGCCTCAAAAATTCTTCAGGACACAGTTTGGTGTGTCTTACTCAAGTTGACAGAATCAGTTGGAAAAACAGAATTGAACTGAGGGACATTTGCCACTTCCTGATCTGGTAGAAAGGTGGAGTACACAGTTGTGTATGTAAAAGCAGAGAGAAGAGCAGCTTTGGAGGAATGCCAGTAACATCTGTCCCTGAAGGTGGTAATTCTAAAGAGGAAATTAATAGATTGGGAGTATGTGAACTCAACTTTGGATGATGGAGAAATGCTGTGGCTGCCATCCTGGAGCATGCGCCCATGGATCGAGATGGGTCCCCAGACAACAGCGCCACATAGCACCCCCACTGAGAGCCATGCAGAGGCTGAGTCTAAGCAGATATTCCAAAAGAAAGACTAGGGCCTGGCACAAAATCATGGAGAATGAGGCTGTCAGCCACAAGAACAGAATTCCTGATGAAGACCAGGTTTGGTGTAGTCAAAACTGAGTCTCTCCCATCTATCAGGGAAGTGATGAAGAAGAGTAGCAAAGCAGACAGGCTGGATTGGGAAGACACATGAGAATGTACACAGCAGCAGCAGAAATTTAGTAAGTGCTGGAACTGTTTGGATTTATGAGGTACTCTCAAATATGCACCTCTATTATAATATGTATCTGACGTATATTTCCAGATAACTAAAATAGTAATACTATGATGTAATATTTACTAATTTCCATGATAGAAGCACGGTTCTAAGCCTAATACTCTCTAGTCATGCCATATCCTTGGGGTTGGGAAGATTCAGAAGTACAGTATCCCTAGACACATCAAAGGATTTCCTTTGTTTAATCAATATCATCTATTACACTTTGGGTATGAAAGTTCAAGTCAGTGACAGATGAACTTAGGCAATAGATTAAGCAATCCTGCAGTGCTGTGAATACGAGTGGGGTCCTGGAACACCATGGATGTCATCAATAGGTCATAGAACCCTGCTGAGGCCTTAGTGATAACTGGTATCATACCAACAAGGATATCATAATGAGCGTTACGAAGGAGAAGAAAAAACACCAGCAGAAACTCTTAAAACGACCTGTGAAGAAGTCAAGGGGTACAAGAGGAAAGTTGGATTTACAAGATGTTCTGCAGGGTAGAGCCAAGGTACTGGCCCAAACTCTAGGCCACAAAGCGGCAGGCAGTTCTTCCTCAACCTCAGGGAACTTCTCCCATGAAGACAAATTCTTGGATGCAGAACTGCACAACTCTCCAGAGGATGCCGCTGAGACACATGAGATGGTCCCAAGTTCAAATCTGGATGCAGGAGAGAATTTCTCAGTCCCAGAACATTTGCTGTGCATCCCTTCTTCAAGCAAGTGCATTCCTATGGACCAGGATGGTCCTGGATCCTCCAAGAGGCTTTTAAATCAAGATTTGATGGAGAGGGAGAATTTCTCCTTCATGGAACATTCCCACTTACCTTCCTCCTTGGCCAATAACCCCTCAGAGTCTGCAACATCTACTGAAAAGAAAAGAGTCCTGAATGTTTACTATAAGCCTGTCCCAACGAAAAGGGGTATGGCTTCCTTGGGGGATACAGAAGATTTGGAGCCCCCCACAAAGATGACAAGAATAGCAATAATTGCCTTTCCTGAGAAGATCCCTTCAAAAGCCAGCCTCTCTCATATGTGCCTAAGAGACGTCCTAACTGACAGTGAAAATGGCTTGCATGGGGAAGGCCAAGAGGAAAGGGAAGAGGCTGAGAAGTCACCTGAGCATCTGGCCCGGGATTCGGTGCTGGAGGACCTGTACAGTGGCTTTAGGTACATGGGCTGCTGCCAGGTCTTCCCCAATATGCGGATGCTTAAGAAACACCTGGAGGATGGGGTTGAGGGTGGTGGTTCATGTCTTAGTCTTGCATTTGCCAAACTAAAGAACAAAATGAAGCAAAGCAAGAGAATCACAGAGGAGGAGAATAGGAATATAACAACATCTGGAGGTGATATGGAGATACTTTTCAGGTTCTTGTTAGTTTTGGCTTTTTGTAGTTTTTTGTTTTACTATTATAATAAATAGAAATTAAATCATTAAAAAAAAAATTCTTCAGGACACGAGCTCAAGGCCATGCTCTGCCATCCCTATGACCTGACCTGCATCCCCATGACCTAACTGAGCACTACAGTATGAGTCATTACATCAACCTTCCAGGCAGCAAAGCTGGACACAGAGATGAAAAAGAAAAGGGGCAAGGAAGGCAGGCACAGTGGTGCATGGCTGTCATCCCAGCCTCTCTGGAGGCTGAGGCCAAGTTCAAGGTCACCCTGGGCAACTTAGACTCTATCCCAAATGTTTTTAAAAAAGGGGGTCTGGTAGGCTCGATATAGCTAAGTAGTTGAGTCTGAGTTCAATCCTCAATACAAAAGGGGAGAGATCACAAAGTGTACACACACCAGCTGTTGTTTGTTTTTTGAGAGTCTTGCAATGTAGTCCAGGCTGGCCTTGAACTTCCAATCCTCCTGACTCAGCCTTGGGTGCTGGGGCTACAACTGTACACCACTACACCCAGTTGTCCGCTGCTTTTTTAAAGATTTTTAGATACTCTATTCGTATCCCCTGGGTTAGATTTACTGATAGGACTATCCCTACCTAAACAAAAGGCTGGAAAATGTCATCTTTATTTCTGGGCGGCCAGGCACCCCAGCCAAAAACTGGGTGATGGAACACCACGAAAGACTCTGCCGCATAACCTCATCAGTTCATCTCATACAGTTCCAGGCACCCTTTGTCACTACAGTAAGCCACACTGTCTGCTCCATTCCTTACACTAGCCAAGCTCTTTCCTTTCCCAGGGCATTTCCTCCAGTTGTTTCATGAGCCGCAAACACCCTTCTGCAGGCCTACACCAGGCTGACTCCTGCTCGTCTTTCAATGTCACCCAGATGTCACCCCTCACGGAGCCCTTCTTACCCTGCAAGAAACAGGTCCAACCAGTCAGTGTTTCAGGTTGCACTGCCTTATTTTCTTCATGGCATTGGTCTTTTGACTTCTTTCACTAGAATTTAATTTCCACAAGCCAGGGCGCTTTTCTGTCTTCTTCACTCCCACATCCTTATTCCCAACACATACGAACATGTCTGGCTCCATAACCCATACTTTCCCGACTACCTCTGTTGTTTCTAGTATAGCTGAAATAACACCATTCCAGAAGTTAATCTTTGATTTTATAATGACAATCTATTAGTTTCTTTCAAACAAGATCTTTAAAAGCACTGTTTCTAAAACAAAATTTATACTTAGTGAGTAAAAAGAAGAGACTGAGATATAATATCATGGTCAAGTCTTAGGTTGCTTGATCGGTTTTCATCTGTAAAATCAGTGTTGATTAAAATTCACTTAATCTACAGGTATTTACCAAGCACTGTTAAAAAGCATAAAAGGTAAGCAAGATAACTTCTCTCAAAAGGAGCACACAGATGCCTTCCAACACTACAATATGTATAATCCTATATGATTGTTGGTTTGTATCCTGAGCTACAGAAAAAGCCTAATACTTCCCAACACTGAGACACTAATTAAAAGACATCATTAAGACACTGAGAAACACACTGCTTCATTTTAAAAGTATTTAATTCAACATTGCAATAAAAATCTGACAGTATTAATAATAGCAGCACATTAATGGCTAAAAAGATATCTATTAATTTTTTTTCCCCAGTACTACGAAATGAACCCAGGGCCTTCCCACTGAACTACATCCTCAGCCCTTTTAAAAATCTTTTTTGTTTTTGTTTGGTTTTTTTGAGACAAGGTCTCACTATATAATTCAGGCTGGCGTTGAACTTACTATGAGGCCCAGACTGGCCTCAAACTTGGGACAATCCTCCTGCCTGAGCCTCCTGAGTGCTGAGATTACAAGCATGTGTCACCATGCTGGGCTTATCTTTTTTATTTTGAGATACAGTCTGTTACCCTGCTGGGCTCAAACCTGTGATGTTCCTGCCTCAGCCTCCCAGAGTGCTGGCACTGCGGTCATGCTTCACCACACACAGCTCTATTCATCTTTATTGCCCTTTTCAGGGGACTTTGATGGCCAGTTCTCTACAGCAAAACAATGCAAGGAAAATGTCTTTAGAAGACAAAAAGTTCTGTCAGTGCAAGGCTAAAATACTTACACGTCATTAAAGGTTTTAAAGATCTCAGCACAAATATCCAATATTAAATACATCTCATTTGAATCCTAAAAATTTAACATAGTAAACATTTTTTTAAAAAGATGAACAAAAATTAACATTTTCTAGAAAATGGCACCCCAGATCATCATGACTAGTCCTTGAGCACACAGCTGTGACTCCCCACGACCACATTCAGTGTTCTAGATCCTTCCTGGCTTCCATTCAAGCAACTTCAAAGGCATCATGAAGAGACAGATGCAGAGACAGATCCCACTTCTCTTTCGGTCCCTCTCAACATAGCAACTAGGCAAAGAATCAGTGAAAATGGGTATATAATCCACAACATACAGTCCACACAAGGCCTCATTCAATTTGAAAAATTGCCAGTTCTGTCAAATATGCCAACACACCAATAAGGTATTTATGACACAGAATCTGCAGGGGTAAAAAATAGAAGAAGAAATTGAAAATTAGAATAGCATAACAAAGCAATTTAATATTAAGATGATCAATGTTACATCGGTGTAATTTCTGGATAATACATGAAGCTTACTTACCACATGCAATGAACTCTCATTTTTCTATTTCCCATTTTATTTCCCTTGTTTTTTAATGTTGATCTAATCAAAATTATTTCCCAGCCTACTATAGCATTATGACCTCCAGTTGATAGAGTGCTCTTACAACATAAAAAAGTGAGCATTAGGGCCGGGGATTTAGCTCAGTGGTTTCGCCACCTGCTGCTCAAGGACAAGGACGTGAGTTCAATTCCCGGTACCAAAAAAAAAAAAGTGAGCATTCATCCTTGACTCTTCTTACTATCTTACACTGTAACTTAAATGTGGCCTTAGTTTCCTTGTTTTGAAATGAAGATAAAAATACCTAACTACAAGGTTGCTGTAAAGATTAACACGTTCCCGCTGGATTGAACTACTGGTGGTACATCCATGACTATCCCATTGGACAGCTTATACCACCCAATGGGACTACCCCATGCCACCCGATGGGACAGTCATGCATGTTCCACTGGTGGTTCAGAGCCACCCAATAGCAAGATATACAAATTCTGGCCCCGACATGAACATGTTGAGGTATTTCAGGCACAGAAAGACAAACCTATGGCATGGTCTCACTTGTTTGTGGAAGCTAAGAAAGCTCATGTCATAGAGGAAGACAATACAACAGTGGCCACTAGAGGTTAGGATGGACTGACAGAAGATGGGGAGGATAGAGGTTAGATAACGGGTACCAAGATACAGTCAGATATCAGGAATCAGTTCTAGTGTCCTACATTACAGTAGGGTAACTAGAGTCTATAAAATAACTAGAAGAATCTAAAGATTCCAACACATAGCAAGGATGAAGAGATAGAAATGTGAATTGTCATGATTTCATCCTTAGACATTGTATACATGTACCTATTATACTGTGCCCCATAAATATATTATGTGTCAATTTTTAAAAATTAAAATTAAGAGGCTGGGGATTTAGCTCAGTGGTGCCGCCACCTGCCTCACAAGCACAAGGTCCCAAGTTTGATCCCTTTAAAATAATAAATAAATAAATAAATAAAATTAAGAAAGAATTAAGTCTATTAAACTCCTAACATAGTAATGAGATTACAGGAAACATTCACTGAATATATATTGTGGCTGTGTATTTGAATATATTTTAGGAACCAATTTTATTTCTGCTGTTACTTGTGATAAGTACTTCACAGAAAGTAAAACAGTATCTCTTTCCCAGTGAAGATTAAAAAGCTTAAACTATAAAGATGACACTTTATTCTGTATTTTGGATATATACTTTTCTTATCTAACCTAAAATTCCCTTGTTATTTTCAAAATTATTTCAAAAAACTTTTTTGTTTTTTAAAACAGAGTCTCATTGTACAGTTCAGACTGGCCTTGAACTCATTATGTAGCCTCGGCTGGCCACGAAGTCATGGCGATCCTCCTGCCTCAGCCTCCTAAGTGCTGGTATTACAAGGTGTGAGCCACCATGGCCAGCTCAAAATTTAGTAAGAAATAATTTCTGAGAGTTTCAAACTGACTACAGAATAATAATTCATATTATTGCCCAAGTCATTACAGCATATGCTATGTATCCTTCTATTACAAAGTTGCATCTAGAAAGCTAAAGACTTAAAGAATACAATAAACTTCTCCACTGTCTTGAACTGGCATACGTTCACATGTGCTTCTACAATGTGAATACACTGTACATTTTGAAAACCTGGCAACAATAAGGAAATATTATTTAACTGGGTTTGTTCAAACTAACCTTTATTTTTCCATCAGTATGTGCAGAAGCTACAGATGTTGAAACACGAACCAGTCTTGTGGCTGATAAATGAATTTTGAAATGCCTATGGAAATGTGAATAAAGGCAGTCCATAAATAAGTCAACTTCCTCCTGGATAACCTCCCCAGGCGTTTTGTGGACACTGTCCCACAAAGCTTTTGCATCCTCTGGATGTATTGCATAAGAAATATCCAGACTCTGAGGGCTACAGGGTACAGACCAAAAGAACTCAGTAGTAGCCATATAACGGTCCATTTTGCATGCAGTCCACATAGCAGCCATCCAGGAAAGATTAAATGCGTTGATTGCTAAAGGACTGAAGTAACAGTCAAAGGTTTTCTGAAACCAAGTTCTAATTATGGCTGTATTAGACTCTGTTCCATTTGCAAGGAATAAGGGTAGACAGGTGAAGTCTTCTGAAACAGTCTCCAGAAGACTATCTCCACATACACTGCAGAACCAGCCAGTCCATAACACTTTACCTTCTCTGTTCTGAGATGGCAACTGAGACTTTGACAGAATCTACGAAGCCAAGTAAAAGAGATTCATTAGGTTCAAAAGTATGTTTACTCCTAAATTACACCTTCTCAAAATTAGTACAATAAAAATAAGTCTGACATTTAATTTGTCCAACAAACACAAAGGAGATGGTCTCCCTAATCATTAGAGTTTATCAAAATAGTTGACATTTCTCCCAGCATTTGTATACAGTGGATATATGGCAAGGACTCTGTGCAACTAAAATGCAAAACAAGAGATGCCTATATAGCATGATCAGGTGCAATATCTTGATTTTTTTTTTTTTGGTACTGAGGATCGAACTTGGGGGGTACTGGGGATCGAACTTGGGTCCCTGCACTTGCGCAGCAGACAATATACTGATTTAAAAAAAAACTCAATGTTAGAAGTGACTGGAAAAGGTCACCAAACCCAACATGCTTCAATTCTTCCATTGATGGAGACAACATTTCCTACAAGAACTCTTCCTATCAACTTAAAATGTTCTTTCATGTTGGGTCCTATGGTCGCCACCAGTGGTCCTGCTTGCTCCCTTTAGGACCTGTAAAACAAATAAATATAATCTTTCTTCTATAGGAGAACCCCTGCAAATATCTGATAGTCCTATTACACATATTGCCAAGTTTAATATCTCCAGTTTCTTCAACCATTCTTCCTGAGCCATCCATTACATTCTCTCAGTATCTTCGTCACTCTTCTGAATTCCTTATGCATAGGAGTCATTCATTAGTGAGCATAATTATTTCAAAAAAGCCTGATTACAAGACTATCACTATCTCTGACCTAGATTACATTCCTATTAATGCAATCTCAGATTATAATTTTCTGATTTTTAGTTGACAGCTTTATATAAATTAGCCCTACACACTCATTTTTGCTGTTAGTAAGTAAATCTCCCTCAACTTAAATTGAAGCAGTAAACTTACTACTAAAATTTAAGGTCTTTCAATTTGGTCCACTGTACCAATCCATTCAGATCATTTAGGACTCTTGATATTTCTAGCTACTAGCCCTTCAAACTTTACATTTATAAACTACATGACAAACATACCTTCAAGATATTCATACAAGTTTTTGTTAAAGTATTGACCAAGTCAAGGTTAAGATCGTAGCCTTATCTCATACCCCTTTGGAGATGATCATTTAAAGTTTCTTTTACTGTATTTCTCCTTATTTAGGAGATTATGAAAGACTCTGAAATACCCTGAACCCCAGAAAATACATTATAGTTTTATGACCTAAGTGTCTATAACCTTGCCAAGAAATTATTTAATTTGAAAACTATTAGAACACTGTACCAGTAATTCAAAGGATCATTTCTTGCAGGCTGGGTAATGTAGCTCAGTGGCACTGCATCTGCCTGGTAAGTGCAAGGTCCTGAGTTTGATCCCCAGTACCAGGAAAAAAACCCACAAAGGGTCATTTCTTCTTCTTTTTTTTTTTTTTTTGGTACCGGGGATTGAACTCGGGTCCCTGCGCTTGCACAGCAGGTGGCAAAACCACTGAGCTAAATCCCTGGCCCAGGGTCATTTCTTTTTGTTTTTTCAGTACTGGGAGTGAATCTGTGGCCTCATGTACGCCAGGCAAATGCTCTACCACTGAGCTACATCCCCACCCCTTTTTTGCTTTTTATTTCAAAACAGAGTCTCATTAAATTGCCTAAGCTGGCTTTGAACTTGGAATTCTCCTCAGTCTTTTCAGTGGCTGGGATTACAGTCTTGCACCACCACACCCAGCTTGAAGAGATCATTTCTAGTCCTCACAAGAACATCTGCTTGGCTGATGACATGCAAGTCATAAAACTTCTCTGACATTAGCTGCTTTGCTTGACAAAGACGTGTCTACTCACTATCCATTTTCCTTCTACAATAGAGCAGTCCCTTTAACAAAGTACCACTAAAAAAGAACCTTTTCAGCCAGGCATGGCAGCACACACCTATAATCCCAGCACTCAGGAGGCTGAGGCAGCAGGATTGCCATGAGTTCTAGGCCAGCCTGGGCTACACAGTGAGTTCAAGGCTAAAACTAGATAGTGAGACGCTGTCTCAAAAATACATCCATCCATCCATCCATCCATACAATTTTCCATCCTCCCTTCAAACTAGAACGTGAACAGAAGTTGCTGAGTCTCTGCAATATCTACTTTGTGTCAGGAACCCAGTGTGTCCTTCCTACTCCTTCTACTTCCTTCCTGAAATCTGAATATAATGTTGATAGCTCCATGAGCCATGTTAGACCCTAAGGTGACTTTTAGGATGGAAGTCATCCAGAAAGGATTTCAGAAGACAAAATAGAATGGGCCCAGATTATTAATCATTTCATTAGCATCATAAAAGCCCTGGACAGTTCATCTTGGACAGTTCAAGACAAACCCCTATCTTGTTTAATCCTGTCATTTAGCCTTTCTCCTATATACAGTGGAACCTAATCCTAGAACACCCTGAAATCTTTGCCCATACTATAACATATCCCTAAAGTCAGCAAACCTTTTCTGTAAAGGGCCACAGAGTGAATATTTTGAACTTTGCAGGCCATATGGTCTCTGTTGCTGCTATTTAATTCTGCTGTTGTGGCCCAAAAGCAGCCATAGATAAAACAGAAGCAAACAAATGAGACTATGTTCCAACAAAACGTTCTTTACAGAAACAAGGAGAGGGTCAGATTTGGCCTACAGACCAATTTGCTGAGCCCTGAGTTATACAAAGAGATATATATCTAGTCTTTTCAACTGCTTGAGAATTTAATTTCCTTGGGAAGAAAATGTTGAAATGAAAAGGGGAACAAGAGAGGGGGGAGGAAGAAAGGAAAGGAGGGATAAGGAAAAAAAGAAAATAGGAAAAACTGGAAACAAAGCTTTTGTAAATAAGGAGGGGAAGAGGAGTCCAAGAGGGGGAATGGGAAAAAAGAAGTAGGATATATCATGTACAGGTACAAAGTCCTTATGATGAATGTTGTTATGTATATGTAAAATACCTAAAATAACCATTAAAGGTTTTGCTTCAACAAACAAATAAACACAGTTGAACAATCAAAAAAAAGAGGACGCTCCCCTGCCTCCATCCCAGGCTCCTAGGGCAGTGAAGCTCAGCCGGTCCCAGGACCTGGAAGAAAGCTCCCCGCCTCCATCCCAGGCTCCTAGGGCAGAGAAGCTCAGCCAGTCCCAGCACCTGGAAGGAAGCTCCCCCACCGCCATCCCAAGCTCCTAGGGCAGAGAAGCTGAGCCGGTCCCAGCACCCGGAAGGAAGCTCCCCCAC